ACACACACACACACACACACACACACACACACACACACACACACACAGACTTCGTGGACATTTGAGAAGCCAGATGTGGGAATGCACACTTACAATACTAGGACCCAGGAGGCTGAGGCTGGATTACGGCCAGCGGAGCGACAGAGGGACTTCCCGGCCCCCAGTGAGGCCCTGTCATGTTGTGAGCATGCCATCCTCACAACGTGAGTACCCTGGAGGGCTTACCTGGAAGATGTTGGGGATGTGGGTGTGGTAGTATTCCCACTGCTCCTGGTTGAACCTCTGCAGGGTGGAGGAGTAATCCGCTTTGCTGTCCTCTGCCATTTGGTGACGGATCTGAGCTTGCTGCCGTGCCTAGGGGCAAAAGAGAAAATACTGTTTGTACAGAATAAACAAAAGCCCACACTGGCACACCAGGGCCCAAATCACTTCATACCCTTCATTTAGCAGATGAGCCGAGGAATGACTTCTTAGGCTGGGTGGCGGCGGCGGCGCACACCTTTAGCCCAGCACTTGGGAGGCAGAGGCAGGAGGAGCTCTGTGAGTTCAAGGCCAGCCTGGTCTACAGAATGAGTTCCAGGACAGCTAGGGCTACACAGAGAAACCCTGTCTAAAAAAAAAAATTACTTCTTTGTGGTACTGGGAGATGACTGAAGAACTCAGAGGCTCATGCCTGCCAGACAGGTACTTATCACTAAGACAGACCTCCAGCTCAGCAGAGGCTCAAAGCAAAACAAAACAAAACAAAAGCTGACTTGAATCTAAGGTCTTTCCTTCCACCATGTGGTTCCTGCGGGTTGAACTCAGGTTCTGAGGCTTGGAGGCAAGCACTTTTATTTGCTGACCCATGTGGCCCAAGCGCCACCATTCTCTTCCTTTGGGCTAACTTGTATGTTTATTATGTCTCTGTGATTATCAAACACACACCCTCCAAAGTCCCCACAAGGACCATGAAGGGATAATACACACACGATTATTATCATAACACAAATATACACACACAAACACACCACAAATTCTCCCTTTTAGGAAGGGGAAGAAAACTACATTTTAAAATTCAATCCCCAGTGGGGCCGACCATCTGAAAAAACTCAATGTGGTGAAAGGGATGCTCAGTTAAGAGGGTTCAGCATTGGCTCCTCTTACAGAGGACCAGGTTCAGTTCCCAGCACCCACACGGTGGCTCATGACTATCTGTAACTCCAGTTGCCAGGAGATTCAGTGTTCTCTTCTGGCCCCCGTAGGCACTGCATGCGTGTGGTACACAGATGTATGTGCAGGCAAAATGGACATAAAACAAAAAAGGAAAAATGTAAAAATTGTTAACCTTAAAAGACTTTAAGGCAGGTTGTGGATTCAAAAATAGCCTGGTCTATATAGCTAGTGCCAGGCCAGCCAGGGCTGCATAGTGAAAAACTGTCTCAAAACAAAAGAAACAAACAAAAATGGGTGCTGAAGAGGTGGCTCAGAGGTGAAGAGCACTTCCTGCTCTTGCAAGAGGATCAGGGTTCTGTTCCCAGCACCAAAACCGGGAAACTCCCAACTGCCTGTAATTCCAGTTCCCGGGAATCCACCACCACCTGCCTCCAAGAGCACTGGCACACACATGTGGCACACATAATTTCACATTGTAAAAGGAAACAATTTTTGACAAGTTTAGAGTCAGTTTGGGGGAGGGGTTCTGGGTATCAAACCCGTGGCCTGGCTCATGTTAAGACACGTCCCAAAAAAAAAAAAAAAAGACACGTCCCTCATGCTGAGCAGACAGACACACACACACACACACACACACACACACACACACACACACACACACTCATGCACACGAGACTGTGTCACTGTGTCTCCGCCTCCCCACCCCTCAGAGGAGACCTGACAGAAACCACCCAGTGACTCTGAGGTCTACATGGCCTGAGAACCACACCCTGCCGGAGGAGGCCACTTCATGGTCCCCAGTGTCACCTCACAGAGGCGAAAGCGTACTCCACTTTACAAGGGCTCCGATTTAGCATGGCACGTGAGCTTTTCACTCATTTTGACTGTTTGTGTCTTGTTTGACAGCACCCATGTCATAGGGGATCAAGAGCCACGCCTGAAAGAGGGCACACTCAGGTGTGAACACAAACACAAAATGGCACCTATGGTGTCTGCCCACTTCCTGGCACAGCTCGGGTAAGGTTGTTTTTTTGCTATTAATTTTTTTGCATTTATTATTTTTTTACTAATACTTTTAATTATTCTTTGACAATTTCATACGTGTATATAATGTATCTTGGTCTTAGAAACCCAACTTCTCCCTCCCATTCCCTGGATTTTTTTTTTAAAGATTTATTTATTATTTATATAACATTCTGCCTGCACACCAGATCTTACTATAGATGGTTATAAGCCACCATGTGGTTGCTGGGAATTGAACTCAGGACCTTTGGAAGAACAGCGAGTGTTCTTAACCTCTGAGCCATTACTCCAGCCCCATTCCCCTAATTTTTAACATTAATTTGTTTTGCATTTGAGTGGGAGTGAATGTGTGCGCACATGGCATGGCACACATGGAGGTCAGAGGACTTGGGGGAGTTGGTCCTCTCCTTTCACCATGTGGGTCATCAAACTCAGGTCATCAGTCTTGGTAGCAAACACCCTTCCCCACTGACCCTCTCAGGGGGTCTTTGTTTTACTTATATGGCTGTTTTGTCTGCATGTACATTCACGCACTATTCAAGGAGGCCAGGAGAAGGCACCAGATCCCGAGGAGCTGGAGTTATAGATGGTTGTGAGCCACCATGTGGGTTTTGGGAAGCCAACCGCAGTTCTCTGAAAAAGCAGTCCGTGTTCTTTAGAGCCAGTTTCGGGGAGGGGCTCTGTGTGCCAAACCCTTGGGCTGGCTCATCCCAGACACACCTCTCCAGCCCTCTAGGGTGACTTTTTATTCTTAAAGTTTCTCAGTGGCTTCTGACCTGGTGACCTTGGCCTGAGCCCCACTTCCTCTACACATTTCACTAACGTTGGGCAGGCCAAAGGTCCCCGCTGGCTTCCTTTATTCTCTTCTATATTCATGAACAAACACCCAGTATTTCCAACCGTTTCCCAGTTCTGTAAGCCATGGAGTCCTTTAGGCTAACCAGGTGTGTTTCAGCCACCACATTCCCTTTGCTGGCGGCCTATTATTGTCCTGGCCATATGCTCTGCCTTCCGCCCCTGACAGAGTCCCCCACCGAGTACATTATCTGAATCTCTGTGACAGTCATCCCTAGCTACCTTCAAAAATCATCCCCCATAGTAAATAGCAGTGATCCTGTGCAAATAACAGCATCCCCCTGCCTGCCCTCCATCTGTTCCACCAAGGCTTCCAACATGAGCTCCCCAACACCTCAGCTAGCACAGCCATGAGCATTCTAAAAAGGAGATTCCAGGTGGGACCAGGATGAGATGAGGGATGGGGCTATGATTGGGATGTAAAGCAAATAAATTTAAAAATTTTAAATAAAAAAAAAAAAGGATTCTATACAAACTAAAACTTCTAAAATATCTTCTGCTTCATTCATAGACTTTTTTTGGAGGAAAGTCTCAGAGGAGAGGAAAGGAGGGGAGGGAAAGAAAAAGAGGAGGGGAAGGGGGCAAGGGGAAGGGAGGGGATCCTGCAGACAGAACATTATGGCAACCAGATAAAGTGGTTCCCTGTTTATTTCAGAGAAATGGGATATCTTCTGATGGAATACATCTGTGAGAATGCCACACACACACAGAGAGGGAGAGGGAGAGGGAGGAGAGGGAGAGTGAGGAAAGGGAGAGGGAGAGGGAGAGGGAGGAGAGGGAGAGGGAGAGGGAGGAGAGGGAGAGGGAGAGGGAGGAAAGAGAGAGGGAGGAAAGGGAGAGGGAGGAAAGGGAGAGGGAGAGGGAGGGGGAGAGGGAGGAGAGGGAGAGGAAGAGGGAGGAAAGGGAGAGGGAGAGGAAGGAGAGGGAGAGGGAGAGGGAGGAGAGGGAGAGGGAGAGGGAAGAGAAGGAGAGGGAGAGGGAGAGGGAGAGGGAGAGGGAGAGGGAGAGGGAGAGGGAGAGGGAGAGGGAGAGGGAGAGGGAGAGGGAGAGGGGTCTAAATCTACTCATGGCAGCCTAACTGCTAAGAGCTATGGTCCTCCAGCCGTCTGGGTTGTCCGCCGCTGTCCCTCGGCCTCCTGAGCCCCTCAGAATGTTTCAGCCCAGCCATGCAATCACTTTTATAGCTTATTAATGCCTAAAGTTCCCTTCATCAAGGCTAAACACCACAGCTTCTCGTCCCTTGTAAACTTGTACGAAAATGGCCCACAGTGAGCAGGACATCTTAACACATACCTTTAACCTTGTGAGGCAGATGTAGTAAAGTCTCTGTGAGTTCGAGGCCAGCCTGGTCAACACGGTGAGTTCCAGGACAGCCAGGGCTACGTAGAGACCCTGTCTCAAAAAACTAAAACTTAAAAAAAAAAAAAAAAAAAAAAAAAGCTGTGATTATTTATCTCAGAGCCCTGAGTTTGCCCTCCTACCCACACCCAAATAAAGTTCCTATTTTCTGGGAGGTTGGTGTGTGTGTGTGTGTGTGTGTGTGTGTGTGTGTGTGTGTGTGTGTGTTTCAATGAATCAGAGTTTCAGAATATAAAGATTTACAAAATTTAAAAGGTCCACATTGCCGGAGGATGTAAGTCACAGACACATCTGAATGAGACTCATGTCTCATTGTTGCTGTCATATGATTAAATCTACACTTCATGATCCATTGAGAAATCCTGGGAATTTCCCCAAATAAATCCAAATGGGCCCAGTTGTGGACCCTACCACACATGGCTTCATTATTCTTTATTTTTTGTGAAGATTTCTTTTTACCTAATGTATATGTTTTTGCCTGCATGTGGCCTGTGCACCATGTGCGTGTGCACGTGTGTGCGTGTGTGCGTGCATGTGTTATAGAAGAGGGCATCCGAGGCCCTTGCAACCAGACTTACAGACAATGGTGAGCTGCCATGTTGGTGCTGGGAAATGAACCAGGGTCTTTTGCAAAAGCAGCCAGTACTCTTAACAACTGAGCCATCTCCCCAGCCCCCTATGGTTTCACTTCTTAACACTCCCCATCTGGCTTCTGCATGGGGGTGAATGGAACCTTTGGCTTAAAAGGTCAGAGGCCCACTGTTAACAGGAAATCCTGTAGGCCAGTGCTCTACATGCTAAGGAGAAAAGCGCCATTCTCCATTTGGTCAGCTCATCTCAGTGTTCGAAGCGAGTGACCCAGTTAATCAATGTGATGTTCTCTCCTTATGGTTCAGAACCTGAAGGAGAAAATGACAGTGTGGATTGGACCCCTGCCGTCCTTAGCTAGGAATGCTGGATGC